GGGGGCAGGGGCGGGTTGGGGAGGAAATACATGGAAACACTCAATTTTGATGTGCACCTAAAACTGCTTTAAAAACAGTCTATTCAGGCCAGTCATAGTGGCTCACGCCTGTAATCTCAGCACTTTGAGAGGGCGAGGCGGGTGGATCACCTGAGGTCAGGAGTTTGAGACCAGCCTAGCCAACATGGTGAAACCGCCCCTCCACTAAAAATACAAAAAATTTAGCTGGGCATGGTGGCGGGCACCTGTAGTTCCAGCTACTTGGGAGGCTGAGGCTGGAGAATCACTTGAACCTGGGAAGTGGAGGTTGCAGTGAGCCGAGATTGTGCCATTGCACTCCAGCCTGGGGAACAAGAGCAAAACTCTGTCTCAAACAAACAAACAAAAAGTCTACTCAAAAATTAGTAAGTGATGCGCTAACACAGAAAAAAGTTACATCAAGGCACATCCAACAACACATTCAAAGTCAACATTTGTATTAATAGGCAGAATAGACAATATTTACTAAATATTCACTCATACCCTGAACAGTGGACACTCCCTCCAAATTCCTTCTTATACCTCAAGTAGACTGTCAAAACTGTCCAGTATAAAAGGGGCACATAGGGAAAAGCAAGGCCCTCATAGGGAAAAACAAGGCCCTTTCTCCCCTCAACAACTTAGATCACTCTAAGTGTCCACTTAAATTCAAACTCCTTTAGGTGAGGTAAGACAGCAAAATGCTCAGAGGTCATTGAACTACTGAAATGTCTGCGTAGGGCTGGGCATGTGGCTCACGCCTGTAATATCCCAACACTTTGGGAACCCGAGGTGGAGGATCACTAGAGACCTGGAGTTTACTGATTATATGAATCAATGAACCTATAATCAGTGGGACCAGCCTAGGCAACATAGTGAGAAGCCATCTTTACAAAAAATGTAAAAAAAATGTAGCCGGGCATGGTGGCGTGCACCTGTAGTCCCAAATACTCAGGAGGCGGTGGTGTGAGGATCATTGAGCCCAGGAGTTTGAGGCTGCGGTGAGCTACGATCACGAACCACTTCACTCCAGCCTGGGCAACAGGGAAAGACCCTGTCTCTTTAAAACAAAACAAATGCCTGTGTAACTGACACTGGGTCATTCTGAAATAGGGTAGGGCAGGCGTGCCTGGCTCTGTGGGAAACAATCCACCCTATCTATGGTGGTGGCATTTTGTGAATGGACTGGCAACATAGCAGGCATGAGCTCAGCAACACTATCTGCCTAGTAATATTATCCGTTGTAGTAAGTCAGGCTACCCATCAAGCTGCCCTGCACTAAAACTGAAGTGTGGATTGGATACAAATAACCAGAGGAATCCAGAAATCTGCTGGAGGCTTAGGAAAACAAAAGGAAGTTTCATAGTGAGTTATGCATATTATTTTCAAGTCCACGAAAGAACTGCTAATAGGCCGGGTGTGGTGGCTCACGCCTGTAATCTCAGCACTTTGGGAGGCCGAAGCAGGCGGATCACGAGGTCAGGAGATCGAGATCATCCTGGGTAACATGGTGAAACCCCGTCTCTACTAAAAATACAAAAAATTAGCCGGGCGTGGCGGTGTGCGCCTGTAGTCCCAGCTACTCGGGAAGCTGAGGCAGGAGAATGGCGTGAACCTGGGAGGCGGAGCTTGCAGTGAGCTGAGATTATGCCACTGCACTGCAGTCTGGGAGACAGAGCGAGACTCCGT